CCCGCCAAATTTTCAATGGCTTATATCTCAAAAACAAGCACACGGACCCTTCATTTTTTTCTGCGTTTTTAGTTCCTTTGTTAATATACTATCAATTTATAACAGTCCTTTAGAAATCTTGTTATTTTGAAACAGAGTAGCGAACATCCTTAAACCGATTTGATATTAATGAGATATTTAATGGTATCTTAAAGGACATTGGAAACAAGCGAAAACCTAATCATTTTAACACACGATTAAGACAATGCATCATGTGAAAGAATCCTTTTTTAATGTTTTTTTTTTTATAGATTAGACCGATTTGATATTAATGAGAAATTAGTCCAGACCTAGCCTGGTTTTTCTAAAAGATTTCCCCGAAAAGGAGAAAAATTCCTAATCTCAAATGCATCATGTGAAAGAGTCCTTTTTTAATGTTTTTTATAGATTAAGGATGTTCGCTCCTCTTGTTTTTGAATTTTTGCCAGATTTTCGGAATCCTCTGGTTTTATCCATGTTTTAAATCAGTAATGAACATAGTTGATATACGTATTCAACATTTTAAAGAACATTTTACTCTTAACAATAACCACAATAAACCTATTTCTCGTATCAAACATAAACTAAAAGAACTAGCCAAGGAATTTGTTTTTGTCCCGGCCGATAAAGCTGCTAATAATATTATTATTGTTTGACGTAAATTTTACATTGAGGTTCTGTAAAAAGAAATCACCAATTCACCAACATTCCAACTGACTCCATTTTCAGAAAACGACATCTGTAACAAACATAAACTTTTAGCTACCGCTTTACAAGCAGAACCAAATACAATGAAAGTCCCAACTATGTATTGGCTTCCGAAGCTACACAAAACACCTTACAAATATAGATTCATTTCGTCTTCAAGCCATTGTTCCACTACTAAATTGTCTATTCTTCTTACCAGTACACTTAGTACAATCAAAAACCTGATAATAAATTGTTCAAATAAGGCCTTCGAAAATAGTGGAATTAATTACTTTTGGAGTGTCAAGAACTCGTTGGAAGTACTTGATAAATTGCATGCATATATTGGTGATTTTGAATCTGTTCAAAGTTTTGATTTTTCTACCCTATATACCACATTGCCTCACATTCTCATTAAGAAAAAATTCACACACCTAATTAAATGGGCATTTAAAAAGTCAGAATGTGAATATATATGTGCAAACTCTTTTAGGTCATTTTTTAGTAGCAATAAACAAAAAAACTATGTCAATTGGACATGCTTTGATACTATATATGCCCTTGAATTTTTACTAGATAACATTTTTGTTCGCTTTGGAGATTTCGTATATCGTCAGGTTATCGGAATTCCAATCGGGACTAACTGTGCACCACTTATTGCGGACCTTTTTTTGTATTGCTATGAGTTACAATTTATGACAAAAATCAGCAAAGACCCATCGAAACAACATCTGATACACAAATTCAATAATACTTTTAGATATTTGGATGATATTTTGGCTCTCAATAATGGCGACTTCAGTATGTATACTAAAGAAGTTTATCCTGTTGAACTTACTTTAAATAAAGCTAATACTAACAATGACCACTGCCCTTTCCTCGATCTTGATATCTATATCATTAACGGAAAGCTTAATACTAAAATATATGACAAAAGAGATGATTTTTTCATTTCCTATCGTTAATTATCCATTTTTAGATGGTGACGTTCCCTTGTCACCATCTTACGGTGTTTATATATCTCAACTTGTACGATTCGCTCGTGTATGTAACAATGTTTTAGATTTTAACGAGAGAAATTTATGTATTACTGAAAAATTATAACACCAGGGTTTTCGATATCACAAACTAGTCAAAACATTTACTAAATTTTATCATCGGTATAAGGACATCATTCGTAAATATAGCTCAACATGCAGACTTCTTATACGTTCAGGTATTTCACATCCAATTTTTTATGGAAATATTCTTTATAAAGCACAAAAATGTCAGTATTCACCTCTGAAGCTAACAAAACCTTTAAATAGACTTATTAAGAAGGGATATAGTTACGATACTGTTGTCAGGTCATTAAAGATTGCATATTTTGGCGTTAATATTGATTCACTTATAGGGTCTTTGCATCGGCACTAAACACATTTATTTAAAAACCAGTTGTTGGCATGACACGGGTTATGTTCTTCTCATATATGTTATGATGGTATGATACTAAACCCCAAACGGGAAGGATTGTGCCTGATATTCATATGATGAAGACATAATCTTTCAATCAGTTTAATTGAAGTCTGGAGCTGGCATGTCAGTTAACTGCTAGTAGTCTGTTGTTATTTATGTATTATTGTCATTTTGTTTATTTTCTTTAGTTACATCTTCGACATCAGACTCGGACTTCTCTTGAACTGAATTTTAATGTGCGTATTGTTATGCGTTTACTGTTCTACATTGGCTAGAGGTATAGGGGGAGGGTTGAGATCTCATAAACATGTTTAACCCCGCCGCATTTTTGCGCCTGTCCCAAGTCAGGAGCCTTTAGCCTTTGTCAGTCTTGTATTATTTTTAATTTTAGTTTCTTGTGTACAATTTGGAGTTTAGTATGGCGTTCATTATCACTGAACTAGTATATATATTTGTTTAGGGGCCAGCTGAAGGACGCCTCCGGGTGCGGGAATTTCTCGCTGCATTGAAGACCTGTTGGTGACCTTCTGCTGTTGTCTGTTCTATGGTCGGGTTGTTGTCTCTTTGACACATTCCCCATTTCCATTCTCAATTTTATTTGCCATTAAAAAATTTTGTCCACTGACCCCTACTTTCCTTTTCATTATTTTATTTCATATAGTTTTAAAAGCCATATTTGAAAATCTTATAAAATCCTTGTTATTTTTTCATAGCTTTTAAAAGAGAAAAGCGGACAATGTTAAAAGTATGAAAAATCTAGAGAGAATCATTTCCCGCCAAATTTTCAATGGCTTATATCTCAAAAACAAGCACACGGACCCTTCATTTTTTTCTGCTTTTTTAGTTCCTTTGTTAATATACTATCAATTTATAACAGTCCTTTAGAAATCTTGTTATTTTGAAACAGAGAAGCGAACATCCTTAAACCGATTTGATATTAATGAGATATTTAATGGTATCTTAAAGGACATTGGAAACAAGCGAAAACCTAATCATTTTAACACACGATTAAGACAATGCATCATGTGAAAGAATCCTTTTTTAATGTTTTTTTTTTATAGATTAGACCGATTTGATATTAATGAGAAATTTAATGGTATCTTAAAGGACATTGGAAACAAGCGAAACCCTAATCATTTTAATCATGTAAAAACATTTTTTTTTTAATAAACAAACCAATCAACGTGTAAGCGAGTTGAAAAAAAAAATGTCTGTGAATTCAGATCAACATAAGAATAAGGAAATTTGTGTGATTTCCAATGAAACAACAATCCATCATGCATCAGACACAAATTCAATGTCCTCTCTTTCAAATCAATAAGACAACAGTAAAGACACGGGTATGTCGCACCTGCTGAAGCAATTATACACCTTTGGCTTTCAAGCATTCGGCGTTTAGCGTTCCTGATGAAGGTTAATCCAGAAAATCGCTTCAGACGCACGAAATTTTTAAAGTGTTATTTTCGCTTAATATATGAAAATGTCATGTTATATTTCAATGCCTTATGATTCTGTAAATAGATAGTTTTTTTTCTCAAAAATACACAAAGCGAAAGGAAGAAACGTTTCTTTTTCTTCGAATATGAAAAATCATTAGTTCATCAAATACTGACAGAAATTAGTATTAATAGCAACTAATTCCATCCACATATCCGGCATAAGAAAAACTAGGCTTCATATTCAAGTGGCCTTGAAACTATCTGAAATCATCTAGATTTTTCTTATTCGAGCGTCTCTGATGCGTCTTTTGTAGAAGAAACGAGCGGTTGCCGTACAAAGTTTTAAGCCTGTTATCTATGATGAGTTTATTTACCATCACTGGGTTTCCTCCCCAAGGGTATCAGCAGCCCCGTAATCAACACTTCTGTGTTGATATGAATTATCATTGATATTTTAGAAAACTTTGAATTTTTCGAAATACTAAGAATTTTCTACAACAGGAATGGATTACCTTAGCTGTATTTGGCAAAACCTTTCGGAAATTTAGGTCCACAGTGCTCTTTACTTCGTACTTTATTTGGCCTTTTTACATTTTTATTCGAGCGTCACTGATGAGTCTTTTATAGACGAAATGCGCGTCTGGCTTACAATATTTTAAGCATGGTATCTAAGATGAGTTTATTTAGAATATAAAAAAATAAAGCAGCTAATTATTTCTGTATGACTGTTTGATACATGTTAACTATTATCACCCAATTTGAATAATGAACTAAAATGTTTAAAATGTAGCAGGATTTAGTGAAACGTTTTAGATAGTTTTGATTTTTTAAAGTCATTCTAACTCAAGTTAATTCCCTACGTAAGACAAAAATTGTATCAAAAATTTCAAACCGCTAAAATCTCAGCCTTCTGACTACTGCTGACAGTTTATCATTCAAATCTAAAGAAACTTTGTGAATTTGCAGAATCAATAATTAAATATCAAATATGTAAACTGTAATGTACTTTAAGGAAAACAATTTGGGAATTTGAAGTGATTATATATTGGTCAAAATGTATGTATAACAGGTACTTATGAATTAATTCGAACCGTAACCATTTATTCAGTTGGAATTGTTATTGCAGAGCCATTTAAACAGACCAAACACAATCGCATGTGCATGTATTACCGGGAATATATTTTATACACCTCTGCATAAAAATTTCTGTAAAAATAGGCGTTTATTCTTTACAACTTGTAATTATAATAATTACGTTTTTTTATTTTAAAACTATTTCTAATGTAACTACTAAATGTATGAAGATAATGATTATGCAACATCAAACGGTGAAATATAGAAGCTAAGTCGTTCATATTTTCAAGTTGAAAAAAAACATTCATTTGTGACTACTTTATGAAATCATAAGTCTGCTATTTTCCATCCAGCAAATGAACTTTTCACGTTACCATCACTATATACATCCCCAATAGGTTGATGAACGGAACTGGTTCTAACAAATGCAGTATCTCCAACATTCATATCAATGACAGCTACTGGAGTTGTTGCACTAAACATGTCATTTCTCATCTGTGTATAAATCTGTGCAATTACTTCACTGTTCTTGAAGATATTCACTGTCATGGCGCCACCTCGATTTGGAAAGAGAGTGAATGTGAAAACGTATATTCCGCTTATAGGGGCAGAGAACGCCCCCGTATGCTTATTATATCCATTACCAACGTTTAAAATCACGTGATCAAAAACTATTGGATGATGCTTTCCAACATTTTGTTCACTTGTAGTAAGCTGGGCATAAAATGCAACGGCGGAGGGTTGTACAGATATATCTGTTGTTTGAAGTCGGCTTACTGAAAATAAATTAAAAGTATATACTACAAGAAAAAAAAAGATGAAAAAAAGTTAAAAAAAAACTAATGTCGCATAAGTACAGTCCCGAAATACTGTCATTGCAAAGGTCTTGCCATTGCAAGCAAGAATATAAACATTAATTTACAATCTGCCTGTGTTTCCGGATGTGAATTCAATTACGAGGAAGTTCTCAATTACGGCAATAAATACATTTACGAAAATTTAACTCCTATTTACTGCATGGTAGTAACATAAATGACAAAAAAGTTAACTTTACACCGTCCATCTTGAATGGACGATCGTAAATCTGTCATTTACGCCTCAAATCTAAAATGGTCTATAAATACCGCGTCTCATAAAGCCAACTACGATTTTTATTACGCAGTGGGGAAACTGGTGAAAAAAAGTATCTCCCTTCCAAATAGAAATATTTTAATTTTTGGCACTCTGTAATGGTGTTATTAACTTATAAGAAACGTTCTAGTGAAAAATTGTATTTATTTTAATGAAAATAACAAAAGATGATAGAGATTTTAAGTTAATTTCTGAATATTGTTGGTATGCGAAAAAGTTGAAAACGTTCGAAACTCGGTTCTATTTTTATTGTTGTATATCAAAGGAGCACCAAACATTTACATAACTTATCGTCGAAATACATGTAAGTAAGAGAAAATAACATCAAAATGTAATGCTATTACAGTGGATTCATTACTATATGTTGGATCCTAATTTTCGTGGATGGCGTGGGTATTTATGAACCACGAATTTCAATATTCAACTAATTGCAAATTTTCTATAGGTTTGTATGCAGACTTTGGCATGAATCAAATATCCACGAAAATGCAGGCATCCCTCTATCCATGAAAATTGGAACACACGAAAATAAATGAATTCACAGTAGCTACTATGGAAAATTATAAAGGGAAGTTACCTAATGGATATCTAATCGAAAACACAGAACATATTTTATAATAAAAAGGACTTAACCTTAGTTATTCGTGGAAACGATATTTTTTTTCACGAATACTCATCGCATTTCCTGTTATATCTTCTGGAGTTATATCAAGTACAGTTATGCAAGAAACTTAATTAGAGAATATGCAGTTACAGCCAAAACATGCGAAAATGAAGTCTTATCAAAGCTATTGACAATCACAGCATTAAAGTCTTTCTTAACATATAGTATTCAATGTGGACTTGGCAGGGGTAGAACTAAGATAGTGTGTCCAGCTATCCAAGGGGGCAAGTTCCTTTGATAATTGACATACCAACAGTGATATTTACTTATATATAGTATTAACGAATGAAATTAACGTGCCAGGCGGGCAAGTTGAACTTAAGCTTGCTCTATATAATAGCTATTACAGTCCAAAGAATTATAGGGCCGACAACCATTATTTCACATGAATGGCCAGTAATTTTGACTTTTGTTAATTTGAAATGCACCTTAGATATAGAAAATTAATCCTTAGTATCTATAAATAAGAAAATGTGGTATGAGTGCCAATGAGACAACTCTACATCCAAGTCACAATGTGTAAAAAGTAAACCATTATAGGTCAAAGTACGGCCTTCTAAAATGTTTAATAATTTTATTCAATTTTGTTATGAGTTTTATTTTGCACCCAATAATCCGCAGGCAGAATTTTAATTTCGATTCATGAATTCTTCCCCGTAGTATTCATTTTAACGCTGTCACTTTGTTTTTAGTTGACGTTTTCATCGGAATTTTATCTGTTTCAAAACTCTGAGTTAAAAAAGCGATATTTGCCGAAAACGACATGAATAAATGACGAGACATTTCCAAGAATCAAAGAAGAAAATAAGACATGGCGATGTTTTCTTGCTTAAAACTTGAATTTCATTCAATAACTAAAAACAAAAAATCTGTACACTATGAGTTTTTTTCAAGAACAAAAATCCTCTCGAAGTGAATACAAATATGTGATTTACTTCTTTGTTTTTCATCCTTAATTTCATCAATATGTCCTTCGTCCCCTATCGGCAAACTTTGGACATGTAAATACGGATTACTTCCGTTGTCATATGACATGCTGGCATGGTCAGTTTGGCTAGCTTTAATATTCATCTCTCTATCTACTGTTTGCAGATTGTTATAATAGCATTTAGTCTATCTATATCTGTTTGTTGGTTCTTTACCCTGTCTTTTAAAAATGAGATTTCAATTCCTTGCGCTTTAATCGTTTTGTGAATTTGCAGAATTTCAGAATATAGATCGATATTTTCTGATTCGACTAAAGCCACAATCACGAATGCTTCTACAAACAGTAAAAAGAAGTCGTTTATCACCATAATGTATGTGTTGATTGATCATGAAATCAACACACACTGTTTTCCTGATAAGGAAAATGCGTGACAGTGTTATATTTATCAACTAACCATAAAAAGGTCAGAGTTAATATAGACATTCTTATTGCACAATAGTTATACTTTCTTCTTTTGAAATGTTCGATATAAATCAACAGATTATCTTCTGCTTACAGCGCTATGGTAAAAAACGAAAAACGACGAAAAGACTTAGATATGAGTAGAAAATATGATACAAATATTTACGCATATTCACAATTTAATATAATTATTTTGAATATTTCATTTAATTTATGTAGTATATATGTTATTTAGTAGCTCATTTTAGTAGGAGGAGAATTTTTCCTGAAAAAACAAACACTTTTGATATGAATTAATGACACCACCTGCACGGTGCCCTGGATATCGGATTTTACATGTATAAAACTTCACTCTTGTAATTTATCTTGCGGAATCATATTTGTAGAGTGTGTTCCATAATTCCTTGTTTTATCAAAAAGTGGTATTGGCCGCGCCTTAAATGTTTAACAACAAGACATACAAAACAAAGGGAAACAACAACCAATATACTTGTGACAGGTACAAAATGTAGTGGGATTAAATCGGGTTTACATGCGCACAAACCTCATCTGTTGGCCTACCTATACCATATGTCGTTAAACTTCAACATACCATAAAAACCTGTACAATGCAGCAACCAACAGGGTGAACGCTTACTTTATTAAAGTAATAAAAAATTATGATAGCTACGGATGTTGAGTGAATAATACCTAGCTCTATTGAAGGAAAATCATAAACAACACTCCTAACAGGTTAAAAATAAGTCTCGTCATAAAATTGAAATCGACAGTTTCTATGTTTGAGAGCTCCGTTGGTATTTACAATCTTCAGCCCAACGACGGAAAGAAACATTTTTTTAATCAGTGAGTCCGTCACGCCTGAAGCTGTTGAAAGATTTAAAAATATAGATATTTGAAGATAAGATGCCAAATACCGAATCTAATTTCAAAGTATTCAAAAGTCTGTGCTAATGGAAGTTTGGGATCATTAAAGTCAGCTTAAGTAGAACATAATCTATCACATCGAATTTGAATTAAGGATAACACTGATTCATTTAAGTTTTTTTATATTTCGACCAAAATCTAGAAATTGACAATTAGGGTTAGTTGAGAACAAACGAGATTATTTCAGCTTTTCTACTAAGAGTTTTCTATTTCTATGTAGCACATTTAGCTCCTGCATATGCAGTATATATCGTAAATAATATAAACAGTAACAATTGTGATGCACCAACTGCGCATTCCGACAATTAATATCTCTTCAGTGATGCTCGAGGCCAAAATATTTGAAAATCCAAAATCTAACACAGTTTTGTGTACTACTGTTTGTCTGTCGTTCTTTTTCTTTTTAAGCCATGGCGTTGTCAGTTTATTTTCGACTTATGAGTTTGAATGTCCCTCTGGTATCTTTCGCCTTTCTTCTAATACAAACGTTGAAGAGCTGATAAACCAAAAGGACCTTAAGTATAGCCAAAACCGGAAAGGAATCTCAGCTTTGCATGAGGGAGATATATTTCATCATTTAAAATGAATTATAAAATCTCATAACAGTAAATTTCAATATCCATATGTTAATGGCAGTACTAAGCCGATATTATATCCCAGAGCTTGTGTTTCATATCAAAGAGGATTGCAGCATACAAGGAAACGTTTTAACAAAGGATTCATATTAATAACGTTGATTTAAGTTTTAAAAACGCCATCATAATTTGGTTGCCTTTTATGAAATATCTGTTTCACATATGACCATTGATATGATCCAATTGTCGTAGCCACAATCTTGTCCTCTCTTCCTCGAGTATGAAATTACCAAATGCGAAGTTTAACAGAATTTGTTTCTTGTTTATAGAAAACTAAAGAGTAAGCAACACGGAATTATATATAAGAATATTTGTGCTGAAAAATGGGTAAATCAAATGATAAACATTAAAGAGAACTGTTGCACTTTCCTATCTGCCGTTTTCAGTCTACTAAATTTAATGAAAATACAGTTTAACATGTGACTCAATCTGAACGAATCACATGTGTTTGAATATACAAAATATTAATATCAACATTGGCGAAAAAATCTGCAGCCAGTGTTAACTCAAACCAGGTGCACACGTGAGCAGATGGTGCATATATTCCGGGTATCCAGAATCGGTGACGAATTAGCCATATGGACTGAAGGTGACGGTGATATCTTGGTCCAGGCAATAGGGGAGGACTCTTGGGTTAACTTGGAGCCAGTCGAGAGGAATTGTTGGAAAATCAAAGTACAGACCCGGAATTAACATGGGTGTTTCAATGGAGGTAGACAAAGAATGTACCCTCTGAGGAGGAACTTTTTTTAGCAGCCCCGCTACAAAATACTACTGGGTAAGCAAAGAGTTATTTGTCTTGGGGGAGGATGATATCCTGTATAAAGAAAGTCCAACGGGTGGGTCAAAGAGGGTGATTATTCCAGAAAAAATGCAACATCAACTTATTGGGCTCAGGATGCAGAATTAACGGCTAGGACGGCAGTTAGCGAATTCTTTTCACGTTTTGGGAGTCCTTTCCAGGTTTTTACAGACCAGGGAAGGAACTTCGAGTCCCATCTGTTTAAAGCCATGTGTGACCTTCTCCATATTCACAAAAGTAGGACCACCCCATACCGCCCCTCCTCCAATGGGCAAGTAGAGCGCTGTAACCGGACCCTGATGGCTTCAGTAAGGTGCTTTGTGGGATAAAATCAAATGTCCTGGGATCTATTCCTCCCGCAATTAGCTGGGGCCTTCAGAGCATCCGTCAGTTAGAGCACAGGGCTCACTCCTAACCGTCTCATGCTAGGAAGGGAGGTTAATCAACCAGCAGAGATAATGTTTAATGGTCCCCAAGGAGAAGACCTCAAGGATAGGAATCAGTATGTAGCCGATCTAGAGGGTGCCATCCGGGGGGCCCATGAACTGGCCCGTGCTAACCTAAAAACGGCACAAGAACGCCTCAAGAGGAATTATGACCTAAAGGTTGTCATCAAAAGGTTTCAGGTGGGGGACCTAGTGTATCAGCTGGATACTGCAACCGTCAAGGGTAGGTGTAGGAAGTTGTCTCTTTCCCGGAAGGGTCCCGGGGTAGTATTGGAGAGCCTCACGCCATACCTGTACAGGGTTAAAAGGACAAAAACTATGATGGTGGCACATCATGCCCGGAAAGCTGTGTACAGATAGGGAGGTCCCCAATTGGTGTAGAAAGTTGCAAGCTCAGGTACTAACAGGAAAAAAAATGGGATCGAGGAAATCGACGGCCTGGGCAACAAGGGAAAAAAGGGACGCCACATCTGTTGTTCATGTCAGGGGCCAGATGATGGGGCCTAATGATAAGATGTGACGAGTGCAGGAACGGTCCACGGACGGTGTGTAAACATCACTCCAGAGGATGCAGAGCAGATATACGCCTATCAGTGTCCAGGATGTTCGGCCTCCACTAGGGTGCAAGTGTCCATGGTATCCCTGCACTCTAAGGTTGTTTTTTTTAGATGGAAAACAAAGATGAGCACGGAGAGCAGCCGGGAGGTGGCACAGTGCCATAGGAGGTGGAATTGGTGGTCCTGGTAGAGGATGAGGAGCTACGGGGGCTGGACGACCCAGAGGTGCTGGGGAAACCAGGTCCTCCCGCAGAGGTAGGTGGGGGTAGGGGGACCGTAGCAGCCACAGGGGTAGAAGGAGGGGAGTTGGTCAGGGGGTCCAAGAGGAAGGCCACCTGGGGGAGGCAGAGATTGGGAGAGAGACCGAGGTGGGGGAAAAGTTCACTTTGAGACGAGGAACTACGAACCACATGTCGAACTACAGAAGTTCTGGTTGGAACACTTGTGGTTGGCTTAGGTTGAGCAGGTTTGGCAGCACTTAACAGTTAACAGTTTTTCTTTTAACACCAAGTCCTTTATAGGCGTTTCATTAGGGTCCAGATGAAAATCCCTTTCTGACCCTCGATTGTCCCTATCTGATCTCCTTTCCGCTCTTCTGTGACTACCTGTGTGCCTGGTAGTCTTACATGTCTTATGTCTAACCGGAGTTGATGAACAAAGAATATTGTTCGGATGAAAGACTGACTGTCCTCCAGATGGAGGAATATTTAAAAGTAAAGAACTAGAAACAGAGCTTCTTGATCCTGCTGGTATACCTTGTTTACGTAATTCTTTCACTCTGTCAGCATATCTGAGTGTATTAAGAGTATGTTCCCACGATGACTTTGTTGGAGATATATTAGCTATCATGGATGCTTTAAAATTCCCTGTAAAAGATTATTTCAGTATATGTGTCAGTTTACTTTGTCAAAATGGTTTATGTTTACTTTCTTGGTCTATAGAACGAATACATTCTTTTAGAGCTAATTCCGCCCCTTCAAGACGTGTATGTCTGTCTGTGTAAGTAACCTCTGAAGCTCTCTCACTACCAGCCAAATCAAAAAATGATATTCTTCCAACTCTTTTGTCTGATGAGTTGCGTACTTTGAGTTGTAGAACAGCGTGAGATCTTGAAGAGTCTGGATTGACTCCAGTAGCACCTTTATTTCGTGCATTGTTGCCATAATATATTACCTGCATGAATGCTTGAACATCTTAACATCCTGTCTCTGTCAGTCCTGCTATACAGACTCTGTTAGAACCATCTTCCCAGTCTTGTAATCTGTTTCTTTTATTGAGGAGATCAAAGAGCTGTCCACAGTAGATTTCAAAGAAGCTGACCCAGACTTTAAGACCAGATCCATACTGTTTGGAGTCTATAACTGAGTAGATATCATGAACTGCCAGTAAATATTGTCCGGGAACCTCCTGATTCTCCATCATTGTATGAGTTTAACCTGCTCTTGTTTGACAATAAGCAAAACATGAGGCAGTCCCACCTTCAAATACACAATTAATAAGAGGTCTGGTGGCCCTTATATAAACATCTTCATTTGAACATTTTTCATTGAATACTTCATCAAATATAAACTCATGCTGCAGAGTGTATGCTCTCAGATCAACAGCTGATTTTGGTTCATTAACAGTCAATGTAGTGTCACTTTCTGCTTTAGCAATATCATCATCTGTATTCTTTATTTCACGTTTATTTCTAGGTCTTTTCCTTACACAAACTTTAATCCTTTCTTCAGCACTAGAATGACTGGTTCTAGAATGACCAGTTCTAGATCTACTTTTACTATTTGTTGGCGTATTTGGTGCATTTGATGGAACACCATAATTATAACTGATCTCTTTACTCTAGGGGTGATGATGCGGCATTTAAATGTTTGGTTGCTGGTTCATAATCTGAATGATCAGATGAATCTGATGAGGACTTAGATTTGAGCTTGCTAATAACCTTAAAAGTTCTGCATGACTTGTTTGACTTGGTATGTTGATTGGTCGTTCATGAACTCTGACATCACTGACAGCATGCAATGCTTGATCACCTCTTCCACGATTACATGAAACCAATGGACTTCTGTTACGTTTTCTTGGTGATGGATTGTGACTGTTTGGTTTGGCAGCAGACAAATTGGAAGGCTCTGTAGTATGAACTGATTTAATAGTATTGATAAGTTCAACTAAGCGTCGTCTGTCTTCAAGGGAAGTAATACCTATAGCTGCACAATCTTGTGGTGTCAGTCGAGCTAATGCGTCAGATTTTGTAATCCCATTCACCCTTAGGGTTGGATAATATTTTTCTAATCTTGCCTCATTTAAACATTCATAGAGAGTTCCCATATTTCATGAGCAATAAAGTAACTGTTTCAATTAAGTATTTATAATCATGAAATATGGGAACTCTCTATGAATGTTTAAAAGAGGCAAGATTAGAAAAAATATTATCCAAAGGAGCGGACATCGGAAGGAGTTGGTCGGGGGGTCCAAGAGGAAGACCACCTAGGTGGAGGCAGAAACTGAGAGAGAAACCAAGGTGGGTGAAAAGAAAAAGAAGAAGAAGAGAAAAAAAGATAGAGACCGTCGTCGGAGTGTGGCCAAGAGACAGGAAAGGGCAGAGGTCATACCCCCACCTCCAGCAACAGGCAAGTCTCTGCCTGTCCTGTCCCAGGATTGCTCGGGAAAGTTCCATTGTTCCGGTGAGGTGGTAACGCCTCGCTCTGTGGGGCAAGGTGGAGTAGTGGGGATTAGACTCTCATGTCCGGTTTCCGGCTGTGAAGCCCGGGCATGGTGATTAGAAGGACACAATTTGGCTGAGGTGTTCAGGGACCTTTGAGTGTCAGATCGAGGGTTGGCGAGGGTTCGCCTAACCTCCCTTAACACGTTGTTCAGGGTCCTGGGAGGGGGAGATGTGGGGACCACATCCGATTCGTCATTGGCCAACTGGAGACGATGGGACTACCCCAGGAGGACCTGGGTGCTGAATTGGGAACCATGTCCGAGGTTTGCAAGTTGGCACAGTGTGAGGTCCCCCGGACCTTCTCTCTGTCGCCAATCAACTCCCCTGCAGCGCTCATGCACTGGAGGGATCAGGTGGAGTTGATGCAGGTTGGTCAGCGCTGGGACTTTTTTGGTGATGTTTATCTAAGCTCCAGTGAGCCTTCCCAGGCGAGCTCCTCAAGTGAACAGGGGAGTCCCTACCCCAGGCCCGTTCCCTCCCTCATGTTTCTTCCCTGTCCGGGTCCTACCGGTCACTTCCAGGTCTAGGATCTCAGAGCTCACCTCTGTCCTTGGGGGATTGAAGAGGATCGCAGAAGGGAAATCCTCCGGGGAGCAGGGGAGTAGAGTCTTGACTTCCAAGAGGCCCGCCCAGTGCATTTGATAGTCATATGGGTCAATATCCCTAATGCGCCTCGAAATGAGGAACTCAAAAGTTGTGTGTAAACGTGTAAACAAAAAATCTCTGTGTAGTGATATTGGACATGTTTCTTTTTTTTTACAAATGACTGAGCTTAACCATTTGTGGTGATTAGGAAAGTAGAGGAACATAGAATAAATGTGTAAAAACTATGGAGCTATTAAATGTGTTCAAAGTATTAAATTTTCAAAGAACTTATTGTGTTAAAAAAGGGATTTTTTATCACGAGGAGCCGCATCACGAAAGGATGTACGGGGTATGCTAATTTACGGAAATAGTAATCTCAATCTCGTACCCCGAAAATTTAACCACATATGTGAAAATGTCACAGTTTCGAAACGAGCTATCATACATATCCAAGTTTACGATATGGACTGAGCTACAGGAAAAAACGTTACCATTACCGCCTATGGAAAAACAATTAAAGGTGGTCGTTTTCTGAAAACCAAAGACTTTGCCTAGTGTGCCGCTTAGGCTAGAACAGGGATGGGTCGGGGCGGTGGTGATCCACCCCAAGAACGCCGGCCAGTTCTTAGACGCCGTGCAGCACCGGTTTCACTCACTGGTGACCCACCCCAGTGTGTCTGCCCTTGGAGAAGTGGGGGCGGACTTCACTGCCGAGGAGAAATCCCATGACCGCCAGGTCTTCACCTTGCAGATGGCTCTCCAATCCTGCCGCTTGACCAACCAGTGGTCCTGCACATACGGGGCGGCAGGATAGAGCCCACAGGGTGGTGATGAAGGCTATTGTGAAAAGGTGACGAATCCGGTGCAGTTGATCCATCTCCATTGTTTCCAGGGGGGGCGTCAACCAGGTAGGGGAGTGGAAGAAGTCCTATTGCAATGCCTATTTTGGGTTTGGTATTGGTGTTCGCTCCTTCAATTCTGAGCAGAGGGACGCCCTGAGGATAATGCCACCTCAGCGGATCCCCTTGGAGAGCGATGCTCCTTTTCCCCCCGCCTAACGCTATACACGGTCACCCTCATCACCTGTTTGAGGTAGCTCCGGCTGTTTGGGAAGTAAGGGCGGAGTCTCCGAGGGAGTTAATGAGGCTCACTCACCTTAACGGGGGTCCCCTGTATGGAGCGGAGGGGGTCTAATAGAACAGAATAGAAATGTAAATAAGTATAAATAGGAGCCCGTTGGCTCAGAAAAAGTTAAAACCCGTTGGCTACACAATGCGTTTTTGTTAAAAGACCGTTGGCTATATACAATGAATTAATATAATAAGTCCGTTGGCTATACCATAAATTATTATTATTATAGTTCTGTTTATAGGGGTAATAGCAGTCTGGTCCAGTGGGGTATGTATCTAGGGGGTTTCAATTGTTTTCATGTCTCGGGGGGGGGGGGGGGGGGGGGTCCCACTTTGTCCTTTTCTTTACCAGTTCACACACTGTTTTCATAATTTTGTCTCACAAGATTTTACTTCTTGTACTTTTAGTCAATGCCGGTTTTTTTCATTTCTTTTTCATGTACAACTAGTATTTATATAATGATAATGCAACATCAACCCTTGAAATATGAAAGCTTAGTCGTTTTTAGTTTCATGTTGAAATAACAAAAAGGCTTAAAGCATTAGTAACTACTTTATAAAAAGAAATCATATTAAGTCTGCTATTTTCCATCCAGCAAATGAACTTTTATGGTTAACATTACTATTTACATCGCCATGCGGTTGATAAGTGGAACTGGTTCTGACAAAAGCGATATCTCCAGCGTCCAGTGTTCTTGAAGATATTCACTGCCATCTTACCACTTCGACTAGGGAAGAGAAGGAAAGTGAAAACGTATATTCCACTTGAAGGAGCTGTAAATGTCCCCGAATGTTTGTTATAACCATTACCAACGTTTAAGATCACATTATCAAATACTATTGGATGATGCTTTCCGATATTTTGTTCGCTTATTGAAAGCTGGGCATAAAATGCTACAGAGGAAAGTTGTACAGGTACAGATTCTGTGAGTAGTCGGCTTACTGAAATTTAATAAAATCATATTAGATCTCCAAAAAACATCAAATACAAAAAATGATTTAAAAATGTAGCAAAAAGTAAAATTACCAAAATACCGAACTCCAAGGAAAATTCAAAACGGTAAGTCCCTTATCAAATGGCAACGAATGGAAAACAACTGTCATATTCTTGACTTGGTACAGGGATTTCCTTATGTAGAAAATGGTGGATTAAACCTGGTTTTATAGCTAGCTAAACCTCTCACTTTTATGGCAGTCGCATAAAATTCCATTATATTGATAACAATGTGTGAACAAAACAAACAGACATAATAGGTAAAAATGTCAAACAGTGGTACAACAGTCAGCATTGTGTTATAATCTTAATCACTATAAAAACAAATAAATATGTCAACAAAGAAAAACAGAATAACAAATAGACAAAACACATAAGCAAAAACGAAAGACAAGGACACAAAAAATGACCATAGCACAATAACACAATGGCGGGATGTATAAGTACCGAGCAACGTCAAAAGGATATTACAAAAATGGACTAAACAGTAAAGGCTGAAAATTTACAAAGACAAATAAAAGAACACTATTACTCGTAATAAAGATGATAAATAACGTCAGTACCTAGAATCTATGCATCAAGATCATCATGTAGCAATTATAAACTCGCCTCAATACTCGAAGCTTAATATCTTCTAAATTTAATACAAACTAAAAATAAGGAGATGTGGTATGATTGCCAATGAGACAACCATCCACCAAAGTTCAAATGAAGTGGGTGTAAGCAGTTACAGTCAACCGTACGGCATTCAACAATGAGAAAAACCCATACCTTATAATCGGCTATAATAGGCCCCGACATGAAAAATATGAAACAATTCATTTGAGAAAAAAACTTATGGTATAATTAATAACAAAATAATTTACGAAAAACAAGTATGACAAACATGAACCAACGACAACCACTTAACTACAGGCTCCTGTCATTGGACAGGCACATATAGAATGTGGCGGGGTTAAACATGTTTGTGAGTCCTCAACCCTTCCCTAAACTGGGACAGTGGTGCTACATCACAACATAAGAACAAGCTATACACATTAGTTGAAAAGGGATTAACCCATCAGATCGATACAAAGCAGAAAAACATCTAACAAAAACACAGACCGGACGTGGCAGGTTATTTATACATCCCTAACAAAATCATGTATCTAAGATAAAATATCCATCAGAACACATCTAACATCCAATGGATTTAGTATAAAGACGAAATTAACAGTCAGAGAAAAATGTGACTTTGTGCAATACCAAACTATAAGTATCGATAGATTGTAGTACTGTGAAAGTGCATATGTGTATAACATTAATATTTAGTATGGTTTTAATTTTACGATATCAAAATCAATATGTACATGTATACCAATAAAAACAATATTCAAAGATCCAATTACAGTGTTGAGTTGGTAACCTTTTAGAATAAGTTTATGTAAAGGATTGATAAATTTACCCGAATCATATCTTAATTTTCGGTCTCCGTAAACAACATCACCGTCAAAATTAGGGTGTGCTATTCCGTTTGAAATAAGTTTTCTACAGGTACATCCAAATCTTTGTATCTATGGAAGAATTTAGTATAGGTTTTAAGTAATTCGTGGTAACGAAATACCTGACTTAATTATCTACCAGTAATACATAGATTACGCTCATTGAAATCCAAAAAGTCACTACAGACACGTGCACGGCCATTGCGAACGAGTTGGGATATATAAACACCCTAAGACGGTGCTTAAGGAACATAACCGTCGAAACAAAAGGAAAATTAACCGAATAAAGAAAGAAAAATCGTCTCTTTTGTCGTTATTGCGTGTAAAACTAAAATATGTAAATCTAGGAAAGTACAGTTATTGCTATTAATATTTGATTTATAAAAAGTAAGTTCCTTTGGGTAAATTTCGGTATTATGTTTAGAGAATTATTGGTTATTTAACGAAAACATGTCATCAAGATAACGGTAAGTGTTGTTGAATTTATCAATTAAATGGAATTTAGACGTTATTTGACGATGCTTTATCACACAGAGACTTTTATGAAGCAAATGTGAGAGGAATAAGCAGTCAGTGAATTGGATATGTTCTTTCACTTGCAATTTTCACCTTACCATGTTTGCAATGTAAGTATCCTTCTTTTTCTCTTTTGATTGACAATTTGATTGGCTCTCCAAACATTTTGTTTTGTAATTATGCTTTAATACTGAACGTCTATTCAACCTCTATGCAGAAGTGTCGATATACGAATTCATACTGAAGTGTCGAGAGACGGTTTGAATGCAGAAGTGTCGAGAGACGGTAAAATGCAGAAGATTCGAGAGACGGTATCTTGAAGAAGTATTGAGAGACGGTTCCATGCAGAAATATCGAAGGATGGTTTCATAGTTAATTGACTTTTAACAAATATTTGACACCTTTAATGTCGAGATGGAATTGTAATTTAAGAATTAAATGATTAATTTGAATTAAATCATTGAAAAATTATATTGTTGAACTCGAAATGCTTTTCTTCTCTTGTCGACTTGTCTCTTTATTTGTATAAAACAGATTTCAAAAAAGGAGATTCCAAGATGAATGAAAAGATCTAGGGTATACATCTAAAATTTCATTCCGAAAAAGAGATAATTATCTTTCAAGAGAAATGTTGATGTTACTCGTATACTTCTTTTTGAATTTGAGACAAAGGAAAAATCAAATAAAGCAAAGAATGTGTCACTAAATTAACTTAATTGTATAATAATCGGCAGTGAGGGTCGACTAAAAACTATTATCTTTACAGCAAAACAAATGACGTCAATCATCACATCATGAAATAAACTTTTTCGGACTCCATCATAACATGGTTGATATTTTTGTTATAAATGTATATGGGTTAATCTTCATTTGTCGAAGCCACAACACCTTCCGTTGCGTTCTTCTTTCACTGCGTGTCATTACCGAAGATGAATTTTCCATGTTTTACTCATCACGAAGAACAACCGAGTATCAGTATTGTAACTTCTCATCTTTCCGGAGATTATCAATTTGTCTTGTATTTGGTTCGGGTTGCTTTGTTTTCTGTGTACTGTTTTGATTCTACTGTTTGTTTTGTCGCCTTTGTTTTGGCAATGGCATGGTGTTTACGACTTATGATTTCCAGCGCCCTGTAAGTTTCAACCCTTTAATTAATTAAAAATATGATATCTTCGCTTAGATAATTTAACACATTCACATAAAATTAGTCGAAGGTGTTGTCCCAAGGTTTAAGAGAAAGAAACACGAAACAAAAAAGACCTAAAACATAGAAAACTGCGGCAAACATTTCGACTTGGAAGGTCTTTGTAAGGGTTTGTCGAAAAGAGAGAAAAACACACACCCAGATCATATTGATATTATAGACAACCCTCACAAATAAACAATCAAAGCGACTAAATGTATGTATAACTTACCCCTAGGTTTTTCATCTGTATTATTGTGAATATCAGTATATCCTTTGGCCACTTCTTGAGAATTTATCGCATGTAAATCCACTTTACTTCCATTTTTACTTTCCAAATTATTTTCGTTAGTACGAAAAGCAACAATTTGATTTTCATTATACACTTCTTGCAAATTAGTGACAATTTGGTTCAGTCTGTTTATTTCTTTTTGTTGATTTTTAACTGTTCCTTTTAGACCTGCTATTTCAATTCCCTGAGCTTCAATAGTTTTTTCAATGAGCAGAATTTTGGAATGTACATAGATGTTTTCCGAATTGGCCAACACGTATGTCACGAAAACCTGTGCTAACATTAAGCTGAGGACGTTCAAAGCCATGTTGTCTATATTAATCGATTTCTACACAATATCTACAAGATTAAAATAATATCCTTGACATAGTCTCAAATATTATCTAACTATAATCTTTGGAAACCATATTTCTTATTCTTAATCAATTTGTTTTTAAATACTACGTAGAACTATAAAGTCTGATAACCACAATGCCTCATTTCTAATAATCTAAAAAACTTTTAAGGCTAAATAGCAGGAAACACATGTGTAGTTATTAATGTAATTAAAACTTACAGATTGTCGTCTTGTCTGATTAATTTTTAAAATGTTGTATAGATTAAGTTTATGTTGCATTCTGGCTGACTGATTTTTTGCGGAAGTGGCATTAGGAGATAGATATTTGCTTGAAAATTTCGGTTTTTCTCAAACCTTTTTTCTAATGCCTGAATAAATTGATTAATTCAGAATTATGAAATTTACATACTAGTACTCAAAAGCAAAGATACCAAAGGTCGAATCAAAACTTATCAATCGATGAGAGATCGACACAATCATGACAACAAAATGAAAACGACGAGAAGAAAAACAACAAATAAAATAAAAAAACTGGAGACTGAGCAACACGAACCTCACCAAAAACCAAAATGATCTCAGGTGCTCTGGAAGTGTTAGAAGTTGACAAAAAGATGACAACACAGGCAAAAAGTTGACCAAATGTAGATCAAAGCTGGTTCTGTTCAAGGCGCCAATTTTGCAGGATTTTGATTTTGGAAAATAACTAAACAAATGAAGACTAATTCATTTTTTCAAATTTACATGCTAGATGCACTGTTCAACCGGTTAACTCCCACAATTAATGTAAAGCTACAGGGTTTTTATTTAATGGATTATTTGAAAATCACATAAAATATGAGTATATTCTTATAATCAAGATATTTGGTTTCTAAAAAAAACTAAGACCACTTAATCCTATGTCGCTAGTGACTTTAGAAACAAACAACGTAATCTATGTATTACTGGTAAATTATTAAGCCAGGGATTTCGTTATTACAAATTACTTAAAACCTTTACTAAATTCCTCCACAGATATAAAGATTTGGTTTTGAAGTTGGTTGTACCTGTAGAAAACTTATTTCAAACGGGATTGCACATCCTCATTTTACGGCAATATTGTTTACCGTGCCCGGAAATTTAGAAACGATCCTGGTAAACTTATCGATCCTTTTAATAAACTTATTATAAAAGGAAAAGGTTACCAATTCAACACTGTAATTAGATCATTAAATATTGTTTTTATTGGTACTTATATTGATTTTGTTATCAGTAAATTAAAAGCAAACTAAATATTATTGTTATATACATATATACACATTCATGGGTCTACAATCTGTCGATACCTGTATGTTGGCATTGCACAAGGTCATGTTTTTCTCTGACTGTTTATGACGTCTTTACACTAAATCCATTGGATGTTGGATGTGTACGGATTGAAAATTTAGTCTTAGATGCATGATTTTTTTTTATTAGTTGTTAGTGGCTTTGAACTAGCTGTCAGTAACTGCGAGTACTCTCAGATCTGTACTTAGTGTCTTTTTGTTGTTTGGATGTACAAGTACCCGGCCACGTCCACTTGTATTTGTAGTATTTGTATTTTTATCCATCTGATGAGTTAAGCCTCTTTCAACTGATTTTTATAGTTCGTTCTTATGTTGTACTGTTAAACCACTGTCTTAGGTAGGGGTGAGGGTTGGGATCCCGCTAACATGTTTAACCCCGCCACATTCTGTATGTATGTGTCTGTCCCAAGTCGGGAGCCTGTAATTCAGTGGTTGTCGTTTGTTTATATGTTACATATTTGTTTTTCGTTCATTTTTAGTACATAAATAAGGCCGTTAGTTTTCTCGTTTGAATTGTTTTACATTGTCATTTCGGGGCCTTTTATAGCTGACTGTGCGGTATGGGCTTTGCTCATTGTTGAAGGCCGTACGGTGACCTATGTTTGTTAATTTCTATGTCATCTGGTCTCTTGTGGAAAGTTGTCTCATTGGCAATCATACCACATCTTCTTTTTTATAAATCCAATCGTTCAACCAATTTGTGATGGTGACAATAAAACTTATGTAGTGTCGATATCAGTCGTTCTTCCTCTTAACTCTGTTAGGGCAGTTGCATGCGATAACATTGAGAAAACTGCAAATATCTGTTTAAAAACCGAGACGACCTTTTCTACAAATCTTTTAAAAAGTTAATTCTGCTAATGGTTAATATTTTATGTAAAAATAGTTTCTTTTAATTTGTTAATCTCAAAAGACAACACTTAAATAGTTAAAGTCAAACAAAGACAACATTTTTATCTCGGCTGTTCTCGCGACATGAACACGGACCTTGTTGAACACTCTCAAAATGAGTGTTTGGATAGAACTTTGTTTGTACACTATTTTTGTCTTCATTTTTTCAATCTGGAACAAATATTAAATCTGTTTAAGATATCAGCTTATCAAGTTTCAAATGCAGTTCTTTCGGGGGGAAAATAGCATATTTCAACACTTTTGAAAATAAATGATTGTGGTTTCAAAATGACTTTTAATCCGTTTAGTTACCGACGTTACAACCTTCTGATTCTGTTATCTTTATCATAGAAAGAATTTAGAGTTAAATGTTTCCTGGTTAACCAGTTTGCCCACTGTTTTCCAAATTTTGTTTTGTAAGATTTAAACTTGTGTGTATTATGTCAATATCTGGTTTTTTTTAAAACTATTTATAATGCAATAATGAAGATAATGACTATACAACATCAACCCGTAAAATAGGAAAGCTAAGTAGTTTCAAGTTCAAATAAAAAAAAAATTTGAAACATTTGAGACTACTTTATGAAGAAAATCATAAGTCTGCTATTTTCCATCCAGCAAATGAACTTTTCACGTTAACATCACTAAATACATCCCCATGTGGTTGATGAATGGAACTGGTTCTAACAAATGCAGTATCTCCAACATTCATATCAATGACAGCTACTGGTGTTGTTGCACTAAACATGCCAGTTCCCATCTCTGTATAAATCTGGGCAATTACTTCACTGTTCTTGAAGATATTCACTGCCATGTAGCTACCTCGATTTGGAAAGAGAGTGAAGGTGAAAACATATATTCCGCTTACAGGGGCAGTGAAAGCCCCTGTATGTTTGTTATATCCATTACCAATATTTAAGGTCACGTGATCAAATACTATTGGATGATGCTTCCCAACATTTTGTTCACTTGTGGTAAGCTCGGCATAAAATGCAACGGCGGAGGGTTGTACAGATACATCTGTTGTTAGAAGTCGGCCTACTAAAAATAAATTAAAATGATGTACTAATTACCAACATACAAACGAAAGGCAACACGACTAATGCATAAAAACAGTCCCGACACATGGTCACATTAAATATACATTAACGGACGCATTAAAAAGGGCTTGATGTTGCAGCCAAGAATATTATACATATTGTTTTACGATCTGCTTGTTTTCCGGATGTATTCAACTGAACGAAACGAATTGGGATATATTCAACTGGACTGAGGGATATTGCATTTTTACGACAATAAATGCATTTACAAAAATGTAACTCTTATTAACTGCACAGGAGTTAGATTAACGAGTTCATCTATGATGGCCGACCGAAAAAGTTACTTAATGCCGTCCATCGTAAATGGACGACTGTTAATCTGCCATTTACGCCGTAAATCTATTATGGTGTATAAATGTGGATGTCACGTCCCATAAAGCTGACTAGGATTTTTATTATCCCCAAAATTTGGTGATAAAAGTATTTCCCTTCCAAATAGAAATATTTAAATGTTTAACACTCTAGATGTGTAGGGATTCTATTAAATTTCAAGAAAACTGTGGAACGAAAAATAGTTTTTTTGTAATGCGAAAAAGTTCCAAACGTTCTAATATCAGTTTTTTTTTATTGCTGTACATCATTGGAGCACTGAACATGTACGTAACAGATCAAAATACTTATAAGAAAGAGAAAATAACATCAAAATAGAATGATATTCGTTTATTTGGAAAATTCAAAGGGAAGTTATCGCGCATGTATATCATATCGAAAACACAGAACATTTGTTTTAATAACAATGACTTAACCTTACAGTTATTCATGGAAACGTTATCATTTTTTCACGAATACTCATCTCATTTCCTATTATATTTTCTGAAGATATACCAAGTACAGTTATGCAAGAAAATATGCAGCCACAGCCAAAACCTTCAAAAATGGAGTATCATCGAGGCCTTTGACAATCAATGAATTTAAGTCCGTCATAGCTATAGTATTCAATGTGGACTTGGCAGGTGTAGAAATAAGATAGTATGTCCAGCTATCCAAGGGGGCATGTTCCTTTTTTAATCGACCTGCCTTATATAAAGCATTGATGGATAGAATTAACTGGCCAAGCGAGCAAGTTGAACTTGGGTTTAGCCCTATATAAAATCTATTACAGTCCAAGGAACTGTAGGGCCGACAACAGTTAGTTCACAGGAAAGGACAAGTATTTTGATTTTCGCTAATTTAAAATACACCTTAGATATAGAAAATGAATCTTTAGTATCTAAAATGTAAAATAATTTTATTCAATTTTGTTATGAGTTTCATTTTATTTTCCCCGTGTTGCAGCCAATAAACCGTAGGTAGAATTTTAATTTCGATTCATGCATTCTTCCCCGGGGTATTTATTCTAACGCTGTCAGTTAGTTTTTAGATGACGTTTTCATCGGAATTTTATCGGTTTCAAAACTATGAATTGATATTGCGGTTTTTGCATAAAAAGGATTTGAATAAATGACAAAAATTTTACAAGCATCTAATAAGAATATTAGACACAGCGATGTTTTTGTTGTTTTTTAACTTGAATATCGTTCAATTACTAACAAAAAAATGTCTACTCTATGAGGTTTTTTTTTTTAAGAACAAAAATCCTCTCGAAATGACTACAAATATTAGATTTACCTCTTGGTTTTTCATCCTCAATCTCATCATAATGTCCTTCGTCCCCTACTGGCAAACTTTGGACATGTAATTCCGGTTTACTTCCGTTGTCATATGACATGCTGTCATGGTCAATTTGAATAGTTCCAATATTCATTTCTTTATTTACTGTTTGCAGATTTGTTATAATAGCATTTAGTCTTTCTATTTCTGTTTGTTGATTCTTAACCGTGTCTTTTAAAAATGAGATTTCAACTCCTTGCGCTTTCATCGTTTTGTGAATTTGCAGAATTTCAGAATATAGATCGATATTTTCCGATTCGGCTAAAGCTACAATTACGAATGCTTCTGCAAACAGTAAAACTAAGACGTTTGTAGCCATATTGTATGTGTTGATTGATCATATAATCCACACACACTGTTTTCCTGATAAAGAAAATTCGTGACATTGTCGTACTTATAAACTAATCATAAACAGACCACAGTTTACTGCACAATGGTTATAGTTTCTTCTTTAGAAAGATTCGATAAATTTAACAAGATTGTCTACTACTAACAACTCTATTGTAAAAACCGAAACACGCCGCAAAAACCTGAATATGATGCAAATATTTACGCATATTCAGGTATTTAATATGATTATTTGAATATTTCATATACATTTATGTGGTAAAGATGTTCTTTAGTAACGCATTTAATACATAGAAAAGCTGGTTCTAAAAAAAAAAACTTTTTATATGTTTTAATTACACCCACGGTACCTTGGGTATCAGACTTTATATGTATAAAACTTCACTCAAATTTGTAGAGTGTGTTCCCAGAAATCCTTGTTTTATAAAAAAAAAAGTGCTATTGGTCGCGCCTAAAATATTTATAGAAAATAAAGAGAAACAACAACCACTTAAACTTGTTTTAGATATCTTGACTTGTTATACGAACACAATGTATAGGTATTAAACCAGTTTTTCGTGCGCACAGCACTCACCTGTTTGCCTGTCTATACCCTATGTCGTAAAACTTCAGCACACCATAAAAACCTGTACAACCAATTGCAATAGGATGAACGCTGACTTTATCAAGGAAATAAAAACCTAAGATTGCTACAGCTGTTTCGTGAATACTGTCACTAATAACAAAAAATCAGAAACAACATTTCAAACAGGTTTAACTAAGTTTTATCATGAAATTAAAATGTTTGATAGCTCGGTTAGAATTTTGAAATCTTCAGACCAACAGTGAGTAACATGTTTTTCTAATTAATGAGTCCATCACGCCTTAAGATGTTGAAAGGTTTAAGAAATTTTCCGAATTTGAATATACTGTTTTAAATTGTTTTCATTCTATAAACGACATTGTAATAAAGGGTAGGACGAGAACCATCTCATATTTAACTTTTGCGAGAGGAATTAATTTTTTGTAGATAAAACGCTGAGACCCACTTTAACTTCTTGAACGTATTAAAAATTATGTGATGTTTTTGAGCCTTTAAAAGTAAGTTTTTTTATTTATATCAATGGAAGGTTTGGATAATTAAAGTCAGCTTAAGTAGAACATTATCTATTACATCGAACTTAAATTAAGGATAACACTGATACATTTAAGTCTTGTTAACATCTAGACCTAAACGAAGAAAACAACAATGAGGATCGGTTGAGAACAAAAGAGATGATTTCAGCTTTCCAATTATGAACTTTCTATTTCTGTGTAGCAACATTCAGCTCCTGTATATGGAGTATATACACTGTATCTCTAAGCTGATATCATATTCAAGAGCTTGTGTAGTATATCACGATTAACTTAACAGATGTTTGTTTCATACAAGTGAACATTTCAACGTTCAGGTCATTTTTCAAAGTTTTACTGACGCCACCATAATTTGTTTGCCCTTTATTAAATATCTGTTTCACATATGACCATTGATATGATCCAATTGTCGTAGTCACAGTCCCATTCTCTCTTCCTCGAGTATATAATAACCGATTGCGACGTTTTACAGAATGTTTACTTGTCATGCGCAACACGACGGGTTCCATAAGTTGAACAAAATATGCTAACCAATCCGATGCACTTGTTGTCTTCCCGGTTTTTGTTGCTCAGTCTTTATTCTTTTGTTTATTGTTTGCATGTAGGTATTTTTCCTTTTCAGTAATGGTGTTGTCGGAAATTCAGGTACTGTTGCATTTTAAGGATTTTAAGTCGATAGAAACACAAAACATAAACTTCTAAGAATATCTTATATAAATCTTCGAATAACTTAAACTTTGAAACATTATTATACTATGTTAACGAATTGGAAGGAGGCTAGATAATGAATTTCAATCAGGGAAAAAATGAAATAGATGAAAATTATTTAAACAATATCCTTTTTTTTTTTAGGAATATTTCAAGTGAGGTAACTTGTACATGTTTAGGACTGATATTACTGAGCTGGTTGTATTATGCCTCTTAGTCGATTGAGTCTCGAGTTTGACTGATTGAACTCTATTATCTTTTTCCGCAGCATTAGATTTAATTACCTGTATTTTTCTGTGCTCATATTTCTCAGGCTTTGTTTACAATAGAGTTTTTCATGGATTGGTAATTGTTTTTAGTCATGGTGTTGTATGTCTATCATTGAGCTTTTTTAATTGCTTCTTCGTATCTTTGTCATTATTTAGACAAAAAGATTTTAGCAAAATTTGGGTAATAACTTTATTTGTTTCATTTCATATTTAAGGATAGAAATTTTTTATTCGGTTAATGAAAAAACATTAAGAGGAAACATGCATTACCAAATCTTCCACTTAAAAATATCCAAGCGATACACTTTAGAACATATGCATATACTAAATGTCACACAGTACTTTAGTTTGTGGTGTGTAAGTTTGTATTGCCAAACACTTAAGCTTCATTGATAGTTTTGTTTCATTATTTTCAACGAAATTCCGGGAATACAGGTAATGTAAACGTACAATTTACTCTAATTATTTTTCTTTGGCTTCAAACATTCCACAACAAGGCAAGGATTTTTCTTCATCACTTGTTCAAAGTTATACTTCGGAGGTATACAATTAATGTCATCATTTACACCGTAACGTTCAACCTTCAACGACTTCGTTTTACCTTTGACATCTATCGGGTCTATTCT